CCGGGGAACCCCCGTTCCCAGGCACGGCTCTCCCACTATTTGGGGGGTGGCCCGAGGCTCGGGCTAATTGCACCGGTCTTCTCTCAGGGTTCTGCCCAGGTTGACAAGAGTGCCGGGCGCTCATTAATATTCATGAGCTAATTAACATACTTGATGTTTGTTTTGAGGTGTCAAGTCAGTGAACCCCACCAAAATCATGGTATGGCACACAAATACGCCATGAACAAAAAATAGACAACAATTGTAATGCTACTATTAACTACTTCTTATTTATTTCAGAGAAATACTTTTTTGTTACAAATATATATTAGTAGTCAGATGCTGTTATTGATTATGTATATATACTGTTGTTAGATGTAAAATAACAAACCCAAAATAAATACTGAAATGTGTTGTGTTGTCCATTTAATTATATTTTATTATTATTACTGTGTTTTTCTCTTACACAACAGGGTGGAATGAATAAATAAAATAAAACAAAATACACAAACTATTTACCTACTGTTATGTAAAATAATTAAGTTAGATAAATAAATAAATAAATAAATAAATAAATAAATACAGAAATAAATGTGTCCATAATATTATTTCATTTATAGTAAAGTTCATTTATTTCTTCAGGGAAATTCGTCGATTTTTTTTCTCTGCCCATTTTTGAACGGCGGCTTGGTAGTCATAACTGTCGACAGTTGGGCCGTCAATTGCGATCCGAACAAGATTATCCAGGCTGGTTTGGTTTAGTCGATTTCGTTGGATGGTTTTGACGAGCTTTAATTGCGAGAATGTTCTCTCGGAATCTGCAGTATGGCAAGGAAGAACTCGATATATCTTCGCAAGTTGTGTTAAAGATGGAAAGACTTGCTGTACCATGGGCGATGTGCACAGATGGTCAACAATTGCGTCAGGCTTCAAATTCATCTGCTTCAAGATGGACTCCTTAGCGTACGTAGTGAAGTGTGTCCACTGATTCACTGCGTCAGACGATACATCGCGCTGATCGGGTTTCTGTAGAAAGTGTGCTGCCAGTGTTTTCACTGCATTGGTGCCATAATCAGGTGATTGTTCAGTTTGAAGCCGATGAGGATCAAAAATGCCAAATTGCGACAGAATACCGATGTCATCAGATGGGAATCGCTTCTCCAAATTGCTGACCAATGCGTTGATGTATTTTTCACGGATCTGCTCTTTCAAATATTTTTCATCATCGGCGCGCTCTTTCACTACGATGTCAGACTTCTCGAGATTTGTGATGAATTGTGGCAATTTCTGTAAATTGTCCGCATCTACTGACTTCATCTTTTGTATAGTAGAAATCGTGGACGTCACCAGCGGTTTTAGTTGACTATATTCGAATTCCCGCGCCTGGAACGCTTTGGAAAGACGACTGACGTGGGGCAGCAAATCACACAACAGCAACATTGTTGCAATAAATCGGTAACTGGATAAGAGGTGAAAAAAACCGACAGCTTTCACGTCACCACGTTCCACGTTCTTCTCCCTCTCGTTCCAAACTGACCAGGATACTGACATAGCTTTCTTTCAGTCTAGTTGTCGACATCTCGATACTTAGCCACCGAGTTGAAGACGGTTGGATGGGCTTCAAAACTTTTTCTCCTAGTGCTGTTTGAACTGCATGCAGGCCAGCCATACGTACTGCACTGTTGTCATAGTAGTCGTACAACTGCCGTAGAATTGTGTGGAATTTCTTAACAAATGGAGCTGCGTTAGCTGCTTGACACGACGCAAGTTGGAGGCGGTGAGCGGAACAGTGAATGCCGATAGCAGTAGTTGCGAATTCCTGGAGTTTCTTCACAACACCGTTATTTTTTCCAGTCATTACTGCTGCGCCATCAGTGCCAATCCCAACGAGCTGGTGAGCATTAAGTTGTTTGCCTTCAATGTACTCGGCTACGTGTCCGGCGATCGTTGATGCATTGAGAGTGACGGTAGATGACGGCTGTGTGATGTCACTTGACTTCAACGGTTCTATCATTTTAAGAAATCTGACACACAGTTGCCCAGATTCATTCAAAAAACGACAGTTCAAAGTTAATTGTTCACTAACGCTGACGTCCGTCGTTTCGTCCAACATGATAGCAAAATACTCTGATTTCTTCAGTTGCTCAATAGTACTTTCTTCAATTGTGGATGATAATATTGCTAACATTTCTTGGATTGACTTGTCGCTGCAATACGTTGCATTCTTGCTGACTCGTAGATTTTCCTTCACTGACAAACCGAGTTGTGAAAGTAGATCTAGTACTGGCTCGAAGTTTGTTGTGTGCGGGATACGTTGTTTCGCCAGGAAATATAAAACGGTGAAGGCCGATGTGATGGCGTCTCTGTTGACTTCAGGTTGAATGATTTCCCCAATGTTTTGACTAGCAGCGGCTGTCAACTCACGTTTCGTGGCATCTCGATGACCTGTTGTCTGTTCGTGCTCCTTGACAGTGCACAGTCTGATACGTCTGGATGGGGTTTTATTCCATGTATCTCGATCGTATGGACACATGTTGTACTTCTGACACAATTTGCAGTACATTCCCTCGCCAGGAATAAAATAAAGCCAGTCACGACCTCTGACCCACTCGTTTCGAAAACTTGAAGCTTGTTTACGCCGAGTAGGAGTCACAGATTTTTCACTGGCATCGTCGACTTTAGACTTTTTCTGCACTGGAAATTTGTTTTCGTCTTGGTCGACATTCTTGCGTTTACTCGAGGTTATATATTTCAGCATAGTGTAAAGATCAGCGTAATAGATTGCATCGGTAGATAAACAGTGTACTCTCGTGCTAGACAGTGGAGGTTCTGATGATGTATGTTTCGTCTAACTTTTATGCACAGCATTTCATTTGCTGGCATTTTCACAGCTCGAATTTTTACTTCAATCACAGTGAAGTTTTAAATTCACGTGATCAGTCAGTCTCGACTTGGTGTGATCAAAAACTCAACGACCGGCAATCAACGTTTCACACTTCCATTGTTTGAATGACAGCCCACAAGTAGCGGCGAGCTCTGATCACTTGTCCTGGTAAAGGCGTGATATTTTTGCCGTCAGAACAATCACCGATCGCTAAAGAGGTGTCGAAACACCATAATAGAGAGTATAGCAACCCTATTCATTGATTTGGTCTTAACCAAAATCTAAACACCGGACGTCTGCAACGTGATCGCGTACCACCCAACCCAACATAAATGGGTACATTTCCAGTAAACAATAGTGCCGGTCGGCAACTTTTTGTGCCGGCTTTTTTATTCGAGTGCCGGACGACACCGTCCGGCGCCGTCCGGCGTGGGCAGAACCCTGCAGGTCTAATACTCAAATCCTATGAATGACATATCTCACAGAAGACTGCATTGAAAATATTTATTTTGTATTTCTTTATCAAAAATTGAACCTTCTGACCCAAAATGGAGATTCTCTCTCATACTAGTATTAATAATCAATGAATTTGAATTGAGGGTTCTGTGCTTTTTTTTAGCTCCGCTGTCGACTTTGTCGAGCGGAGCTTATCATATGAGTGATTGTCCGTCGTCATCATCCGTGTCAATGTTTTACTTTTTCGACTTCTTCTTGAAAACTACAAGCCTGAATGCTTTGATACTTGGTGTATATGTACCTTGGGTAGACCTCTCTTAGCTTTGTTCATTTCATGTTGATATCTTCAATTCTCTAATTTTAGTGAATATTTTTGTCATTTTTGGTAAAAAGTGATATTTTCGACTTCTTGTTAAAAACCGCAAGTGCAATTGCTTTGATATTACATATATAGGTACTACATGTGGACCTCTCTCAGATTTGTTCATTTCGTGATGATATCTTCAATTCTCTAATTTTGGTGAATATTTTTGTAATTTTTGGTAAAAAGTGATATTTTCGACTTCTTGTTAAAAACCAATAGTTCAATTGCTTTGATATTACATATATAGATACTACATGTAGACCTTTCTCAGATTTGTTCATTTCGTGATGATATCTTTGATTCTTTAATTTTGGTGAATATTTTTGTCATTTTTGGTAAAAAGTGATATTTTCGACTTCTTGTTAAAAACTGTAAGTCCGATTGCTTTGATATTACATATATAGATACTACATGTGAACCTCTCTCAGATTTGTTCATTTTGTGATGATATCTTCAATTCTCTAATTTTGGTGAATATTTTTGTAATTTTTGGTAAAAAGTGATAATTTCGACTTCTTATTAAAAACCAAAGTTCAATTGCTTTGATATTACATATATAGATACTACATGTAGACCTTTCTCAGATTTGTTCATTTCGTGATGATATCTTCAATTCTCTAATTTTGGTGAATATTTTTGTCATTTTTGGTAGAAAGTGATATTTTCGACTTCTTGTTAAAAACTGTAAGTCCGATTGCTTTGATACTATACATATTGTTCATTTTCTAATGATGTCTTCAGTTCTTTAATGAAATGTGCAT